TGCGCAGGGGCCATGCTAATTTTCTCTATATCGTTCCAATTTTTTTTTTTTTTTTTTTAGTATATGTGCTGCCAAAGCGAGCACATCCATAGTTTAAATATAAAGTAAGCTAACACATGATATGAGGTTTGAGCATTTAATGGAAAAGATATTTGTCTCCGATGCTTACAATATTCTTTAAGTTGCACCCGTTTGGCAATACATTTCACTCTCTGGGTTAGGCACAGTCCTCACTTCTGAAGTGAATTATGCCATAAATACTATTTCAATTTCCAACTTTAGGTAAAACATAAAAAGTTTATTAAATATATAAATGCAAAAGTAATCTGACAAGGGCTGTCAGAAATTGGGAGAAAGAAAAGGGAAAATATGGGCCCTTATTTCTTCATTTTCATAGTAAACATTCTTGAGAAACAGTAAATTCATGGATCAAGAAAATAGGCTTCAATATATTATTTACAATAAAGGTAAATATAAAAGAACTCAAAATGATACAATTGACTAGATTAGGAGGGTGGGAGAGGGAGTGGGGTTCCTTTGGGTTGATGGATTTCTTGTCTTGTAGGATAGGATGCTGCAGGATATGGTAGGTGGAAAAACAATCAAATTATTTTTCTTACCAATTTGATTATCTTACATTGTTTTGACCAAAATTTAAAAAGTACAGAAGGGTCTACAATGGAGTTTCCCTCTGTTAACATAAAAACATTCAAACCTGTAAAGAATTTTTGTGAGTTAATTTGAGCCAAACTGTCTGTCGACTACTTCTTGGGAAGCAGTATCTAAATGGATTGGGATAAAGCTCCAGAGAATGGCGGTTTTTTTTTCATCTATTTTTATACAATGATATCAAAGGAGGGGACATAGGTGGGTTACATGAAATACATTGGTGATAGATTAGAGAGGCGGGAGAAAGCAAAGCAGGGAAACCCCTGGGATTGGATAAAAAGTAAAATGATAAGACACATAACTTAAGTGAGTGCAGGATAGTTAGCAGTCAACAATTAACATGATGGTAATAACAATGAAGGAATGTGTGATATCTGTCCTGGTGCCCAGGGCTTTTGGTAGTACCCTGAGGGTTCCAGAAAAAGGGAAGTTACAAGTTACCCAGACATTTCAAGGATGTTATCATAGATGCAAAAAGACTGAAAGGCTCAGTTAAGGTAAAGGTTGACCTTGTCAGTGAAGATACCAGACTAGGATGTGACTACCCACCATAACTGCTTTAAGTTAAAGTTTAATTTCAGACTATCCTTTGTGGTTACTTTAGGTCTCTGAGTTTGCAAGACTGCCATGCAGGCCTCTCCTGAGCTTGTCAGGTTAGCACGAGGCCGCTTTCGTCCACCTCTTACCTGTTCCTAGCCGTCCAGAACGCCATTTTGGAGGGGCAGCTGTCATTTCCTGTCATTCATATGCATGTGTGTATATGTATACACACACACACAAATAGTAGTAGCACTGTAGCACTATTATACTATTCTATCCTGCTGGAAAACAAAATTTGACTGACTGAATTTTAAAGATGGCTTTAGTCAATGATTCATGAATCGGGCAGCATTCCATCTATCAGAAAGGAACTCCAAGGAGCTATACAAAATGAAAGACGTACAGGTAGAAGAGAGTGGGTTGAGAAGTTAAACTAGCAAAAAGCAGATTGTCGCAAGGTCCCAGGGGTCCTTCTAGCAGATTACCTCACTAGTGCTAACCAGGTCATTTCTGATGACTGGTTTAAGATTCCATTTCCAGCAGAGGCTGAAACTAAGTGACCATAAGCTTAGATTGCATTTTGTGCTTGTTGTTTCTTTTTTAACAGTACTTTTCTCATATCACAATATATCTAGGCATTTGCTCCCTGTCAATGTCTAGATCTCCTTTTGGGTAAAGCTTCGGGAACACAGATAGCATCAGGCATGTATGGACAGACATCACTCAACCAGGCCTGCCCATGGACAGTTAGGAATTTTTAAAAAAATATATATTTTATTTATTTTTTTACAGAGAGGAAGGGAGAGGGAAAAAGAGCCAGAAACATCAATGAGAGAGAAACATTGATCAGCTGCCTCCTGCATGCCCCCCACTGGGGATGTGCCCACAACCAAGGTAGATGCCTTGATCGGAATCGAACCCGGGACCCTTGAGTCCGCAGACTGACGCTCTATCCACTGAGCCAAACTGGTTCTGGCAGGAATTTTTAAATAAATGCTGTTATAGTACTAGACTAGAAATCATTCCACATGAGTGGCAGTATATCATAGGACAATTGCCTAGCAATGGAATTTGTTGGGTCAAAGTGACGAGCATTTTCTAATTTAAAATATACTTGTAGTTTATCTGAGAGACCATCTCCCCACCTCACAACTGAGGGTCGCTTCCTGAGAAAGCCTGCTAGGTCTGACCCCACTATGCAATCTGCTAATCTTCCAGAAGGAGAACACTCTACATCTGCCCCTGTACCACCCAATTCCCCCTCTTCCAACCCCAGCCCTTTCTGCTGGCCTCTCTGAACCATAATCGCTTGTCAATAAAACCTCCTAAATGTTTGGTAAATGGCACTGTTCCCCCAAAGAGTTCTAAACCATCAAGAAGGGCTCAGGCTTTCTCCTTGGGAGGAGCAGAAGAGCCTGTGCAGGAAGCAGTTGCCGGTGGGGAGCTGTGCCTGTCTTGTTTCTCATTTCAGACTAATCATTTATTCTCCGTGGGGACAGTGAATGGAAAGGGGCGGAGACCAGGGATGTTGGCCAGCAGACTTCCTGCTACAGGACTGAATGCAGCAACATCCTCCTCCTACCAGCGCCTGCAGAAACCTGTCCTGAGGACCCTGCTTTCCCTGCAGCCCAGCACGTGGTAGCTGTCTCATCTTCCTGTCCCATCTACCTTGGGCCTGGAGGTGGGGTAGGGGCTTATTTTCTATTCATTGCTAACCTGCAAGCCTTAGTCCCCTCCCC